ACTTAGAGCAGGTTATAATTGTTATACACAGCTTAGGCGTATTTTATATACCTATAACCTACAGCTATCATAACTCTAGTATCCCCATGATATCCAGAGAAGATTCGATGACCGAAATGTTATAATAATATATAGAAACTTCACACAATATCACCCAAATTCTCGAAACATATTCTTATTAAAAGGAACGTTAAGTACAAGTTCGAAATCTCTGTACCAGCATAATAGTTCCCAGAGTAATTCATTAGTGAGCAAAGATACTGTATTAAGATAATTCACGAAATTTTATCTTCATTTTGGTTTTGTACTTTTTATCCTAAGCGTTTTATCCGTTACAGCCATAATACTAAAAACCAGTTTTTAGTTCTAGATATGACATTTGAAAATAACGTTTCCTCAGTGTCATGGCGGTAACGAGAACAAGTAGTTATCATAAGAAAAAATTATAGCACATAATTGTATATTGTTACCATCACTGTAACACACACAGTTGGTGACTAAAATAAAATATATTAGACAGATCAAAATTACAGTTTCACGACAAAAGTGTAAGATTAGCTCTTGATACATTTCTTTAAACAAATCTGTTACAATTGAAATACAATTCAAGATACTCAGAACATGTCCTTGACATATTACACAAATCTACTATTGTTCCAATACATCCATGATATTGATGGTTTGTTCTTACAGTATTAAACAAACCGTTTACAATTCAAGATAATCAGACCTTTTCTTGATATATTAAACAAATCTGCTATTGTGCTAATACAGTCGTTACACTAAGCGTTTACTCTTAATATATTAAACAAACCTTTTACAATTCTAATACAATTCAAGATAATCAGACCTTTTCTTGATATATTAAACAAATCTGCTATTGTGCTAACACAGTCGTTACACTAAGCGTTTATTTTAATATATTAAATCAAACCGTTTACAATTCTAATACAATTCAAGATAATCAGAGCTTTTTCTTGATATATTAAACAAATCTGCAATTCTGCTAATACAGTCGTTACACTAAGCGTTTATGTTTAATATGTTAAACAGACTTGCCGTTGTTCAACTACAGTCTTTATACTCATTGCTTATTTTTAATATGTTTAATAAATATGGTATTATTCCAGAGAATAGTTATATTCAGTGTTTTTAATAATATATTAAACAAAAAAGCTTTTGCCCTCAATACAGTGGGTATGCTCAGTGCTTATTCTTAATGTGTTTAACAAATCTGCTTTGTTCCGCATGGAACAGATTTTTAATTTTGAAAATAGTAAGAAAAACGAAAATATGTCAAAAAATGGATAGTTGGAACGTTAATTCGTCTTTCATAAGTCCATACATCACCATTGATCTTATATTTTGGTGTAGAAATGTTTCAAACGGAAAAGAAATGATATACAAAAAAATGGGTTTCGGTGTACAGCCAAGAGCTAATGCATCAAAAACATAACTATGAAAAAAGTCATTACGTACTACAAAGGTATGGCGAAGGTCTTAGGTAACACTGATGTTTTTAGAAAACGAAATCTTGATATTAACACACTTTCAAATTGGTATGGTCACATTTTCTAAAACCTACAAACAAGAACAGAACCTCAAAGTTGGTCCAGGACATTTAAGGACAAAAATGTGATAGCAATATAATTCAAATGGTTTGTTTGTAGTTCAAGCAGAAAGCTACGCAATGGGCTATCTTTGCTCTGCCCAACACGGAGATCCAAACCCGGTTTCTAGTGTTGTAAGTCCGCAGACATACCTTTGTGCCATTTAATGTGGAAACACATTTATAAAAAAAGTTAAAGGCACTTCTGCTTAAATCTGGAAAGGCATTCTCTCATCATTATGGATGTAGTACAAGCCGATGTTTCCTACCCATCAAGATAATAAGTTTCTTCTGGTTTATATAATGACTTGACTTTCAAACAGGGAATTCCAAACATATTGATCGTAAGATTCAGTTCTTGCCGCACTTGGACGTGTTTCCAAAATATTCCCCTCTAATCGAGTGGAAAATGATGTTTAGTGGGACGTCTATTGATAATCGTTTTGCAAGATACTCAGCAGCAACATGTTGAAATCACTGTACGTATATCAAGAATACAGATCAGGAAAAGAAAGTAGCACATTTCAGTGCTGATCCTGTAATGCATATTGTACAACACACACGCTTGATGTACTTCCTTAACTAAATTCTTAATGCAATTTATTGAATCTCACATTAAATTTATTCAAATTGCAGTAATTAAAGCATGTGACAAAATGATTACTAATTTTTGAAGCAATGTATTTCCTAATTTACTTAGTTTTCGATATCGGAAAATTTCAAGTATCGTTTTGTTTCCATTGGAGATGTTTTATCACACTGCTGTTTCATGAAATATGTCAGAAAATTAACATTATAGATTTGTTACACACAAGTAATGTATGATATATAAGTACACAATTTAAGTAAAAGCATTTTAAAGTAGAGTGTGTGTGTTAAGAGGGTTAATGGGGCTCCGAATTGAACCTTCTGTTCATAACTCTCAAGAATTACAGCACTTTTTGAGACAAAAGATACTTAACGTAAGGCAATAACTTCTAAGATATGTTTGTAGACCAAAGCATAGGGTAAAATTACCTTCTGTAATATGTGTTATATTTTCAAAAGACATGATCAGCGTTAAAAATTGTAAATGAGTCAGTAATAATGTTTGAAATGAAACATGTATAAATATTTATATTTGTAAGTAAGTCAGTCAGCTTCTCAATGAGCTTTCATCGGTTTATATTTTACAATACTTATTTTGTATTATTCGTAGTATTTAACAAAGACAGCTTAAACTTCTATAATATATGTTACATTGTCATGTATTTAAACATTATATGAGATTATCTAGTAGTCACTGGTTGGCTAATAATAAAAAACATTGAAAATAACATTTAATAAGCAGTCTTGTTATTACCATATGTGTAGCTGACACGCAAAAACCAAATTAGCCGTTCTGGTAATTATAAAATACGAAGTTCTCTTTGGTGTAAAATAGTGAAAATAAAACTGAACTTCTAATTTCACTCGTTCTGGTAACTTCAAAAGACGAACGTTTCCTTTTGGTGTAAAATAATGAATTAAAGCTTAATTTTCAGTTTTACTTTCGAAGACAGTAGAATGTAATATAATTTTAGAATTCCACAAGAATTTTTGCTTTAGTTTCTATAATTACATAATGTTCAGACTACTTTTTCTTCGAGTATAATGTTATATAAGACGAATTAAAAAGTCAAACTTTTCAGTTTCAGGTATACATTTAACAAATAGTTTTTCTAATATACATCATTTATACAAGTATTAGAGTTTACGTTTGTATAGATTTTCCCTCTATTGATCCTTTTAATATGTATTAAACTTTAAACACTGAGATCTATAACAACTACAATAAACATACGAATATAAGAAATATAAGAAATTAATAGCATTTAGCATTCATAGCCTTATGCTAACATTTTAACGTTATCAAAATAGGCATGATTGTATATTTTTAAAACTGAATTAATTTTTAATAAGCACCTGTTTCACTCAGTGTTCAATGTTTATGTCTTCGTCCTAATAGCGACATGGTTTAAACTTATATTGAATAGTTTGGTATAATGATGACAAATATGGCGTTGCTGGTTTAATCAGTCTATAAAACAATAGTTGGTGTTTTACACGTATGGTGTTTTTAGTTATATTTTACTAACCTCATTGAACCTATATTTACATGGGATTTGAAGAATAGTATTGATGCTACTAATGTATTCTTCTAAAATATTTAGGAAACAAGTTGTTTAAGAGAATAAAAACAAATACGAAGCCCGATATATCATTCATTTCACCACTTCTTACTGAGCTATACCGGTTTCGGGGAATTCCACCCCCTCATCATTAACCCTAAACAAGGTCAAATCGAAAACATTAGGTTGACTGTGTTGAGTTAAAGACAACAAAAAATACCATACATATAATAAACAGTCCACCATTATAAAAGGCCTAGCTGAGTCTGCGTGTGGTTACATTTTATAAAAACAACAAAACGTTTGAAGCCAGACCTCTATTGAAAGCTGCATAACACCTTTTAAGACCACATATAAAATATATACATTTCCTCATATTACTGAATTATTTCCTTTAGAAAGAAATGCAAGTGCTCAAACCGGATCTTAACTACTCAATATTATATTATTCATATTAAAAAAGAGAGTGAGAAAAAAAAAACGAAATCCTATAACCAAAGCGCTTATGAAAGGTAGACTTTTCTTCATGAGGGGCAAACTATTTGCCCCTAATATAAAACGGTCTACCTATCGAAAGCGCTCGCTTTAATTGTTTTTTGGACCTACTTGTTTTCTAACGTCATGAATATTACATGCATGAGTTTTTCATGTTAATTTCTATTTGCAAGTACTTTTTATAGTGGTTGTGTACACCAGGTACATCAGTTCTATTTCGCGAAAGTGAAGTTTATAAGTTTAACGAACAGTAGTAATAGCTTTTCTTGTCATTTCGCTACATGAGTTCTATTTCGCGAAAGTGAAGTTTGTAAGAAGTTCAACGAACACTAATAATCGCTTTTCTTGTCATTTCGTTCAACAACTCTGATATCATTAATATGCTGATGTGAGATGACATGGAATTCACACATTATACACCGAATAAACAAAATTTTGTTATGAAATGTGTTTTATTTTTGTCTCATATTCCTTTATTAAGTTTCATCCAGAACATAAAACAAAACGTGAGGCCTGTTCTTTGAAAATATCCTTGGTCAAATAACTTGCTGAACAAATTCCAACTTCGCAAAAACAGAGTACTGTTGATATCGTTTAAAAAGTGGATGCAAAACTCTGTAAAGCCAACTGGTGGAAGCATATAAATGAACGAAAGCTTATGCGACAAATAAAACAGTTGATCAAGGTTCTTTAGATTTGGAAACAATGTAACACCTTCATGACAGATGTAAAACAAAACTACTTACCAGGATTCCAGACAGCACCTTTAATAGGTAGAAAAAAGACTCCAAGCAGGATGACCACTTTCCGGAGTTGAGAACCCATGATTTACAACGATCTGTGGGGTTACGGAAGGTGTGTTAACCTCGTGCTCACGCAATCCGTCAATATATATCAGTGCGTGTGTGCTTTGAATCCAAGCGTATTGGCTGAATCAATGGGTCGCCACCAAGTGAGCTACCCTAGTCAGTTGACGTTATTTATAACAAGCACAACAGCGTACAGTGACATCACAATCATATCTCGTGACGTTTCGTTCAATCTTAACTCTTGCTGGCTGTACATGATTTACGATAATTTGATAAGTCAGTTCATAGCTCCAAGAAACACTACAGCAGGTCTAGAACTGACAAAAATAATTTAATTTTCAAGCTAAAGACTAAAGAAAATAATCAGAACTTGTTCTGACATTACATACATATCACACTAACAAACCACATAAAATAAGAATACGTTTATCTGAATATTCTTGTAGAACAACGAAAAAATTAACATCTTGAATACTTTAAGGAATAACCAAACTGTATCCATGTTATATCTTCTATAAATGATTTCATCAAAATGACAGCCATCGGTCGTTAACGGGGTTTATTCTACCCCTGTGGGGCTTTAAATAACTTTTCTTTTATTAGATATAACAATGAATATCTGTGTGTAGAATGAATAGCCCAGTGAACGTGTAAGGCTAGAGTGATAAGTCAGACAAACATTACTTTGGATTCATGGTATAGCATTAGACTCTCGTGTAGTTTAAAGTTCTCTATATCTGGTACGATTCAACGTTAATATTTAACACACACAAAAAGTATACACTGTACAAACATTACTTTGGATTCAGTGTATAACATTAGACTCTCGTTTAGTTTAAAGTTCTCTATATCTGGTACGATTCAACGTTAATATTAAACACACAAAAAGTATACACTGTACAAACATTACTTTGGATTCAGTGTATAACATTAGACTCTCGTGTAGGTTAATATTCTTTATATCTGGTACGATTCAACGTTAACATTAAATACAAAAAACGTATGCACTGTAAAAACATTACTTTAGATTCATGGTATAACATTAGACTCTCGTGTAGGTTAAAATTCTTTATATCTGGTACGATTCAACGTTAATATTAAATACAAACAAAAAACGTATACACTGTAAAAATATACCACCAAATGTGCGGTAAAAATTTTTATTGGTTTTCAAAAAACATAAAGCTATTCGGATTCTGGTTTCTACGCTGGTTGCCAGTATATATTGGGGAGTGTCATACCCAATATACTGTAAAATTTATAGGTGACTCACCATCACTTTTACTATAGACATCGTACTTTTTAACGAAAAATTATATTGATTTCATACAAAACTTTACAGATGATTCATCATTAATTTTAAGGAACGCATTTATTTTTTTAAAGTATAGTATATTTATTACGCGTAAAATTTACAGGCGATTTAGCATTAATTTTTGGGGCACTCTATAAGAAAAGGCGCTGAAAAATAAACACAATCGTCTCACTTATCTGTATATTTCACATCTGTAGTTAGCATCTCAAGGTCTTAAGTATTTTGATTTTGATTTTTAGGTGCAATTCCGAAATCTCTTTACTATCAATTTACATAAAGTAAAATAATAAACATGTTGAGTTTAATCACTCTATTTTGCTCACATTTTCGCCTTATTTACAACCACCTCTAAAGAATAAACATTTCTTATTACATACCCACACGCACGTAATTACTTCGCCACAGATTGCTTAAAAGATAAATATTAAATTCTAAAGAACTAATGGCTAAGTTTAATCATACATTACTTTAGTATTTAAAGTTGAAATACGAAATATTCATAAAATACTATTTTATTTTATGATTATAGTGATAAAATATTAAAATGTTTGTTCATTTGCTCGTGTTTCAGCGCAAAACTGCATAATGGATTGACTATCCACGCTCTGTTCGTTCGCAAGGACTGAACTCCGAATGTTAGAACAACATAAAAAGATAGTTTATCATATTTCAAAATCATATGTTTCTATGTCAAGATGGGTTACTTTGAGCTTGAGTGATCATTATAGAACAAAAGTAGAAGTTATACGAGCAGAACAATTAAGATAATATGCGAATACGTATCAATAAATCCTCACTGTTTGTCCTTAGGTTATCATAAGTTTCAAATACATAAAGTAAAATCTAGAAAATATTTGAGTTTTGAAAATTGACAAAGTACGATTGAAGAGAAAATGTTTAAGTGCATTTTATGTTTTTTGTATTTTCCATCTAATCAACTTTAGGTGATGCTTCACAAAGAATGTAAATATAGAATCTGAAAATAGAAATAAAATACTTTCTATTAAACCAACAAAATACGACCATTTGTAATTTCTCAACATCAAAATTCTTGTGGACCATTATTTATACGCAGAAAGTTCACTTGTTATATGTTTTCGTAAAACTATTTTCTAAATAAAACCCGAAGTTTTTCCCATAAGGTTTTCAGTAATTGTTTGTTTGAAGTTAAGGACAAAGCAACACAATGGGCTATCTCTGCTCTGCCCACCTCTGCAGACATACCACTGTGCCACTGGGGGAGGGGGCTTTTTAGTAATTTGTAAGATGATTTTATGTCCTATTTCCCACAAAAATTATTTTGTGATTTATATTAGCCACAACGTTCAATATCATTAGGAAAAATCCAGTTTTCATATAATTAAATGCAAATATCAACATTTGTACTAAAATGTTGAATAACGTAAGTTTCGAACTCAAATAATTATAATCATATAGAAAGAGGATTCAAAGCAAAAATGAATACGTCATACAAAAAAGTGTTGAAAAAATACCGACAATTACATATTTTGATTTCGTGTTTATAAATAATCACATGGATATGTATTGAGACTAGATATACACATGACATATAAACATTTAAAGCGTGAATTAAAACGTCTGGGCCAGGATGCTTGACCCGCAATCTGAGGGTCGCGGGTTCGAATCCCCGTCCCACCAAACATGCTCGCCCTTTCAGCCGTGGAGGCGCTATAATGTGATAATCAATCCCCCTATTCCTTGGTAAAAGAGTAGCCCAAGAGTTGACGGTGGGTAGTGATGACTAGCTGCCATCCCTCTAGTCTTTCACTGCTAAATTAGGGACGGCTAGCGAAGATAGCCCTCGTGTAGCTTTGCGCGAACTTCTAAACAAACCAAAAAGTCTACACTATATACAAATTTATTTATCAAACGCTTATGCATGTAAAGTCAACGTAATTCTAAACACAACAAATGCTTATCTTGGAAAGAGATAGACAAGGTTTTCTGTGATATGATGCATCTATCGCATTTTATACAACTGTTTTATCATTCATCTAATGGTATCTGTATTTCTTTATTGTGTTGATTGATATAATGTACTATTAGATTTAGTTTGAATAATTTTATGAACGTATTTCTGTAAATATACATCTTGTAACTCAGGGCTATAGAAGTGGAGTACGTTATATTAAAACTATCTTGGAGCCTCACCATATCGTCACAATCCATATTGTCGCGTCCAGTCATGATCTGTCTGATGACTGTGCATCTTGATAATAGCTCTGAAGCGTATTTTTCTTAACAAAAAGCTTCATCGTAAAGAGTATAATGTTCAAAATATCTCTCTCTTCCCTGATAGCTTTCCATAGTCTATCTAGTGCACGAGCGCTCGTTTCAGCATTGTAATCGTATAGAAATCCATAGAATAATTTACAGACATGAATGCCCGTTTCATTCTCCAGCTGCTTAAGGAATGCAACAGATGAATTTATATATCGTTGAAGCAACTTATGTACACTGACTTGTGTTGCTTTTCCAGACGAAGTCCTTTCTGTTTATTCTGCTTACTGTTGCTTTTATCACTTACCTTTGTGTTCGTGGATTCTTACTTGTTACAAGACATCATAACTTGCTTACCAGGAAATTCTAGATCACCAACTTGAACACATCTTTATGATCTAAGTACATGAATATTTCGCGTTAAAAAGGGCTGTTACATACCTCTTGGAAGAGCGATCTATTGCAGGTGGCATCACACTGTCTATGAAGCATCAAACAACGTCAGAAGTTGTTCTTATCCATTTCACGTGGTGGTCACGTGACTTTCTGAAGTATATCTAAAATTTACTTAATTGTTTGGTTTACAAAATACCTTTCTTTTTATTTTATTTTTGTCCACTATACAGCACAGCAAATTGCGGAAAGTAATGCAATTATTTAAATCAGTCATATTCTTTTTATGACTTCTGTGTTCCGGCAGGTTTCTAGTTGCAAAACTTATATGTAGAAGTCGGCGCAACGTTTAGCAAAAGTCGAATATTAACAATAAACTTAGTTAAGAGAAATAATCTACCTTAGCTGTCCAACAATTCAATCACGTTGCCCATTAATTGGACCTATGAAATGAATTGAAAGACTCCAGACTATAAAAATATATTTATAAGTAAACAGAAGACAATGGATGGATTAGTAAAAATTAGGTACCAAATTAAACCTTTCTCTCTCTAGAGCTTACAATCAAGTCACTTCCCATGTTACGTTGTCTAAGTGCTCTCATATGTTTTTTTAAGCATTTACACATTCGCGTATTGTTGTTATAAATTTGCAGTACAACACAATAAAAAAACAGAATATAACCGTGGAAAATGCGGCAATATTTTACAAATCAGGTTAGTATGGTTTCTATATAGAGCCACCAGTACTGATTTAATCAGAGTATTTTAAAGTTAAAATTTGATTTTCTGTTACATATTGAGAATGATGAGAAAATAACTCCCTACAAACCTAAAGGAAAAGATTGTTCAAAAGCACAATTCCGAAGAAGGCCATAAATCAATTTCAAAGGTTCTCAATTTGTCACAAAGTACTGTAAAATCGGTTGTGAAGAAGTGAAAAGTGTGTCACACTACCCCAACCTTGCCAAGATCAGGACGTCCTAAGAAAGTCTACCCTCGAACAAATAGAAAGATCGTCAGAGAAGCGACTGTCAAGCTAACAGTGACACTGAAGGAGCTGCAGAC